CGACGACGACGACGACGACGACGACGACGACGACGACGAGAGGTACGGCTAAACGAATATCGCTCGGTGGACGACGTAGCAGGCAGAGCAGCAGCGACGGCCACGGCGAAGTTCGTTCGATCCGAATCGGCGATCGGCATTGGCAATACTCTCGTCGGGTCGAACCCGATGTCTCAAGTGCACACGGCCGATCCAATGTCACTGTCTGCGAAAGCGTCCATTACTCGGCGACAGTTTAAATACGTTTAACGAACCGCTATACATAGACGTACAAAACCTATTTTAGAGTCGCGGGGTAAACGTTCTCTCAGGGCTGTCGTCTGGCTGTGACATCATTGCTCGCCACCGAGGGCTTTTCGTTTCTCTTTCTGTCTTAACTTTTGTATAATTAGCACACGGTTTAATCGTTAACAGCCTGGGCTGAACGCGCCAGCTTCAACGTGCTTAATCGCGCTATTGCAATAGCAATTATTATTATTATTATTATAGCAATATCGCGTATACAGAGTACAGGCATTATCGTTATATTTTACGTAGCATTTTCCGAAAGCGATCGTAGGAAAGAAAGCCGATCAGAGCGATAACGGGGTAAGTTTTAGCAAAGAGAACGCGAGACCGATCGATAAGACGCGGAGTTAATTACCGATAGATGGTCGGCGAGATATTTTCAAGAAACAGACCGGTGGCGATCAAAATTTCGACGGTGCTTTATTCTCCTGGTTGCGCTCTCAGACCGCAACTACTTTGCGGTCTACTACTTTTAACAAATAGCATCGAACACAGTGTGTCCCTGCGATGAAATATTTTTTTAAACAGAACGCTGAAATTTATCGACCACCTAGCTACGTGCTGCGAGCGTACGTTACGATCGAACTTGATCTCCAAAATCTGGCATCTCGAGGAGAAGAAAGGACTATACAGCTGTCCAACTATCGTCTCTTCGCTCGCCTATCGAGTAGATCACGAAGGATAAACAACGAAAGATGGACAACGCGCGCGTGTGTGAGCGAGTTGTCCGCCTGGCCTTAGTCGTCAAAGTTGGAGGGGGAGCAGGGCCCGTTAAAACTGGCAAGACCACGTGGGAGGTGGTTACTCCTTCTTCTTCTTTCGCTCGCAAAAGCGCCGTTCACGGCGAAATGCTCGTTCGTGCTTTTGTCGCGAAGCAATCGCGTTACGAGCGACAAACAGACCAAGCTATTAAATAGAATCAAGCAGAAGATCTATCGAGTACAAATAGTCCCTTACTGGACGACGAATCGAAGCGAACATGCATGCCCCTTACGATCAGCTGGACGATGATTTCGCGGTTTCGTTGTCGCTCGTTTCCTACCAACCGCTCGTTCTTACAATCGCTTCGGCTGACACCGTGCTTCGTAAAACGAACGCAATTATTATTAATCGTACAACGTGGATCTCGTGTCACGTATTCGCCTAAAGTAACAGGAGAGGGAGAGAGAGAAGGTCGGGGGGGGGGAGGAGGAGGAGGAGGAAGGAGGAGGAGCTGACGTAACAAGTAGAACGAGCGATTACGACCAGACCGTGTTGTTCGGACAAATTCTTCTTCGGTTGATCCGAGGATTTGTCTAACGGTATAAGAAGACGTTGATTTAATAACGTTCGATTATGACCAAAACGAGATAAAGCCTACTGCGTCGATTGTGTCGATTGGGTGAATTGCGTGAATTACGAGAAGTAAGCGTGGACTTCGCAAATACCGGTACACGATTTCCAGTTATTACGAGTCCGCACGGTATATACGTATATAGGTATGAATCACGGTGACACGCATCCTCCAACCCATCTATTGGCTCTCTGAAAAAGTAGTTTCACATATTTTAATATCGAAGCGAGCCAATTTTATCTTATTGACACGATCGTACCACAACCATCGGTTGCACAACTTCTTCGTGGAAAGAACTTTGGCTTTCGCAAAATTTGCATTTAATTTAAACGTTAATCTATCGGCTGTATTTGAAATCGTAACGCCGTTTCCTTATAAAATCGCTTTATCGTAAATCACGACGATATACTAGAAAATTGTATCGGCGTATCGATGCGCGACGATCCACCGTCGTGGAGACCACGCGTGTCCGTGTTTCGTGGCGGGGAACCGGTGCATCCAGTTAGTCGCGTAATTGTCGTTCAGCGGCTATTAATAATTTATGGAATAACAGCCGGCACGAAGGGTAACCCGAGCTTTGCCGCTTTGAATTCCAACCGACGTCTATCGAGATGTCTGTCGTTTTTACGGCGACCTTTTGCACCAGTTATCGAGAGCGATCAGACGTGGCAGACTGTAGTTACGCGAGTTGCACAAAGTAACGCGGACTAACGCGACAAGTGTAAAAAGTACCGAGATCACCGCGATCAGGCGAGGCTGATGTCATGCTTGTTTAAATTCAAAAAAGGAAACGTTCGCGGCAGAGGAACGGAACGGTAACGAGAAGAGGAAGAGGGACGACGACGGAGGGCCGACAAACTATGGGCCGCGGTTCGCGTTGTCCCGTGTCCTTGACATCGATATACGGTGCACCGTTGTCTCGTAAAAATGGCACGGCTAATCGTAAGATCTTCCATAACAAGACTCGTCGTGATTCTCAATCGCCACAACGTACAAGAGCACCTGGTTTCCTTTGTTCGCGACAACGTTCGCAGACAGCGCGTGAAACTATCGGATGGCACGATTTTTCTTGCTTCTCTCGTTTTTATGCCACTCGGTGACTTTACAGGGCTTGCCGCGAAAATTACGACAATCGTGTGGCTTCGGTGATTATTCGTCGCGCCATCTTCCTTAAAAAGGACGTAAAGGGATTCTTTTCGATCGACGCGTATCCTATTCTCTGTGGGGACGCGACTCGAGAGATCTCGCGACAAATACTGAAACGCTCTCTTGTCATCCGTTCCTCGATTACCTCTTACCCACGAAATAACGGACTTGCTGGCGTTCCGATAGCGTTCTGAATCGATACGTTTTCTATCGCGGAATCCAAAGTTGGGAACGACCCCTCGCCTAACCTTATTACCTCTTTCGTAGCAATTACTTTCAACCGTTTCAACCGCTCTTTCGCACGTTCGCTTGATATTCTCGCACCAACGACGTGCACTCGGCAACAAGTGGCGCTGGATAACGATACACGACCGGCTAATGCCTTTTCTTCTACTTTTATCCACTTTGACTGCTATTTTTTTTCCATATCGATATCGAGCTCGTAAAGTAAAGTAAAGATTCGCTGGACGATGCGTCAAGTTGGCAAAATTTCCGTATCTCGTATCTCGTATCTCTACAACGTTCGGACCATGGTACATCTACCAAGGTTGACTCGAGAGTTTCCTTCTGTGTATAGGCCAGCTAGGAGAAAGACTTGCGAGAAACAACGCGGTAACAACGCGTAAAACGATAAAAAGCTAGTCTAAATATAGAAACGAACGAGCAACTATATTTCTAAATATGCATGTTTGGCCAAACACGTTTTACCAAGCATACTTGCTCATTCGTACATTACACGCAGAGAAACGTATCGCGCGTACAGTGCTGTACAATGTACAGTGTACCGGGGATCGATGGTTCGACGGATCATTAAAAAGGAAGCTGAATTTGAATCGCAAACAACGGCTTGGACGATCGCACGTCGTTTATCACTGCGAGGAGCAGAGCTTTTCTCCGTTCCTTGCATCCAGTCTCGGAGCAGAATGACGTAAGCCTATCGACCTGGTGAAATTTGGCTAGTGTCAATTTTTCAATGTTCGCGTCGCAGACTGTAGTATGCTGACGTCGTTCCGCGCCGATTTCCATCGACAAACTCGGGGAGTCAACTTTTGACCAACGCAACGCTTATAAGTTTGTTCGTTCGTTCGTTCGTTTGTTTGTTTGTAAGAAGAACCGTTCTAGAGTAGAGCCGTCCGTTTCCCTCTTGATCTTCCCACGAGATAAATCCATTCGTAGAAACTCGTCCGGAAATGCTAGGAAAGAATCGAGGAATTTGACTTTGCAACTTTCCCTCGAGTGCCTGTTAACGAGAAAGAATACTCGTGTAACATGCGAAACAAAAATTCCTGCGGCTAATTGCTTCATACGTAACTTCTCTTCGTGTCGCTCCTATTCATTGGTCACGTTCTTTCATGCTCTTTCGTGCTCTTTCATCCTCTTTCATGCTCTTTCATGCTCTTTCATGCTCTTTCATACTCGGCATAAGTAGAGATGTTTCAAATATAGTATACGTAATAATATATAGTTGCGTCTGTAGGTGTTTGGATATTCGGAAATTGTTGCAAGTACATGTGTACCTATATAAACTGTAAAATGTAAAATGTAAAATGTAAAATGTAAAATGTAAAATGTAAAATGTAAAATGTAAAATGTAAAATTTAAAACGTAAAATGTAAGATATAAAATATAGGTGGTCGAAATATACAGCTGATAAATATCGATAAAGACGATAGTTGCTAGTTGATATTAATTAATAGAGATAGAGGAACAGTAAGAATGAAAGTGGATGAAAACCGGTCGTGGGAAGAGATCCGAATCAAGTAAATTTAAGGTTCAATGTTGAGACGTTAGAGCGATGGAAATATGTGTTTGTAGCCACGTTCCTTGTTTCAGCTTAAATTTAGCAGAGCAGAGAGATTTAAATTAAAAACTTAAAGCAGAGCAATCTAATAACTAAAGTTAGGCGATTGACTTCAACTACAACTTTGAAACTGTAACGAAAACGTCGACGTTTAGATCGAATCGCACCAGGTAGCCAAATACTCGTGGATGGTAGTACGTGTCCGTTGTATCGCGTCTTGACTGCGGGACGACAAAGATGATTAGACAGATATTCGACGAGTAGTACTTGCGTACAAGTAGTTTCGACGAAACTGCCTACGACTCTACGGGTTTCCATCGCTTCGATCGCCTTAACATCGTGCCGATTCGTCGCGTATTTTCCTGTTCGTCCCTTTGCACATCTTCGGATTCGGCGTTTCTTCGTCTATTACCAACGAACGTTCATCGATTGTGAATCCAATAGCTTCGACTAAACGCCGATCGTTCGGCGACATACTCCGTGACACACTCCGTACGTACATGGCGTGAAAGTTTTTCCCTTATACGTTCTTGGCGTAGAACCAGCCCGAGTTTTGTAGTATCTCGACGAGAAACCAATTTCGTCGTAAATCATCGTTTTCGTTGAAACCTCGCGATCAAAACGTTTATTGAGCGTAATTGACAATAACTGGTTACAATATCCAAACACGAATAACTAAAATGATATATCTTGTCAATGTTATCGACCGCACCAAAGATTAATGCGAGATTAGATGGAAATCCAGGTATTTTGGATGCAAAATAATAATCGATAATTCCGGAGATGACGAATCAAGCTTACAGGCATAATTATCCTTATTACGGTACGTTTGTTATGCCTCGTCCATCGACGTCCGTTTTCATATATCTGTATTCCTGTTGACTCTGCTATATTTTAATCTTACTTACGTTTCACCAAGAAACGTTTCAAGCAAGAAAGCTCGCTCGATGCTAGAACGAAATTATATCTCGCATGAATTGCAATTTATATTTTTTTTCAAACTTGGTTAGAATCAGGTCGAAAGTAACGTCTATCGTTGTAGCGAGAAAATGAAAATTTGATAATTCGTTTACTTTTGTCCAAGTACTACCTGTACTTACAGAACACTTTGATCGTTACTCGCTCTCGCCATTAAAAACATTCGAAATTAATACTCGGCGTAATTGTCAGCGTATCTGGACTGTACAGTGAAACGGTGGCTTTGCCAAAATTGCTCCATAAAATAGTAACAAGTAAAGCGAAGCCTTCTTTCCATTTTTCCATTTTCTTTCCTTTGTCAAGATGTACTGAAATTAAAATATTTAAACGTCTCCGTTGTTTTTCCCTCTCAAGTAATACGTAGCATACGTTCTGTCTTGTGTTATACCAACATTATATTATATTATATCACGTTATATTATACAGGCTGTTACCAAGCAATGACTAAATATCTTTCATCGAACAAAAAGAAACGAGACTTTGGTTTCCCTCGGCTTCGCAATCATATATATAGTGGAATATTTTAACTAAGTATAGACAATAGTATGTACGTATACTCCCCGAACGAATGGAGCACAAGTTTTAACAAGTGGAAGGAATTTATTGGAAACATCGAGGACCAAAATTGACATTGATAACGCATGCAAATCAAGCTGTTCCATCTCCCGGCGGAAGGTTAAGCGACCGAAAGGCCGCGCCGAATCAAATCTTTCGTAGGATCCTTGTCTAAAGCAAGCTTCGTGCAACAGCCGCCCTCCTTTATCTTCTACATGTAAGAACCGCGAAAAGTGCTTTCCTTTCGTCTTTATTTTGTCGCAATTCTTCGAATTTCATTTATAAATCAATCACGTTGCTGTCGCCAGTAGTATCGTCCATTCCCGAGTGTCGAGCGTAGAAAGTTTCGTGTGCAGGCAGAACATATATGTAGGTCGACCAAAATAAAATGTACACAAATATGTCTTTGGTCTGAGAGAAAATTCGAAATATGGACGACTATCGTTCCTGCTAATTGCAATTTACTTCTCACGCACGATGACGATTATGCGAACTCTATGGACCGATAGGAGGCTGCTTAGCAATTAACGTTCTCACATTCTGACCGATAGTTAGACATTGTAAATTCCATAAATGAGCAACTCTGCCCGTACGTACATCGTCTACGCTCTATACAGTCCCGGCGGTTTTGTCACTCGGCACACCCCGCTGTACTTTCCACCTAAGCGCTTCCAAGTCGCTTCTTCTTTTCATTAAGAACTTTTTTTAATCGTATTTATCCTATTCCGTTGCATACAAATACAAAGGTTACGTAGGCTAGAAATGTCCATTAGGCGTATTAGTATGAATTACTCTATTGATATGTAAATGGTAAAAAACTGCCAGATCTCTGTTGCGTGGTCTTGTTTACATAACAAACGATAGACGTTCATTGTCAACGCTAAAAATAATAATACAAGAGCTTGGCAACATGAAAACGTATTACTTGACAACAAACCTCGTGTACGTGATTATACGCTACTTCGCACGCTTTCTATTTCAAATTAATAAACTATGAAAGAATACCATATACTCTTTTATTAATTATCGCCGCTCAACACCAAACTCGAACATCGTTAAAGTTACGTACCTATGTACTAACTTTTAATAACCTTATGCTTTAATAATTACAATGCGTAAGGAAAGACTCGTTACCTTGGGGTTGCCGTTGCTCAACCATGGTATGATGTTGTCGATAAACTGTCCGATGTCTTGACACTCGATGCTCTTGGTCGCATCTCCCAAGTAATTCAACAGCAAACTACCAACGTTTAACTTTTTCTTGATGTCAGTCGTTGACAGGAGCGGCATAAAACCGTCCATATCACGCGGATTCACCGCCATGGTGGCCAACACGCACGACGTCTCCACACCTTTGCGAGTCTTTGAACGAAACTAGATTTCACTCGTGTACGTCAAAGCACATAGCTCATCGTGGTTTCATGATGCACGAGAACGAAACACGCGTCTTTCGTCATGTCAACGACGTTCGCCACCGAGAACACGTATATCGGCGAGGCGGAACTGTCCGTGCGATTTAAAAGCCATACGCAAAACAGTACTTTTTCCCTGATTCTCTCACACACACGATCGTCGTCGCGCGAGTTACACCGAAATTATGACGCTACGCCAGTGATGTTATTAAACGATATCTCATACAGGATTCCGCGAAACTTTCCACCTTTAAATAAGAAACATCGCTCACGTTTCGCTTGTATTATGCACAAAAGATAATGTAACGTAACGAAAATCATCGGCACCGTACACGCGACGCCATTTTCATTCCTTAGTGCCGACTGTCTCTCTCCCTCTTGAACGATACCGACGCCAGTTAGTTCGAGCGGATGCCGCTGTAACTAACACTAGTTGGCCGTTTCAAATATTTTTCAAATATTTTCCCGTTATCAACGTTCCGAGCAACTGTAAGTATCTTTTAATTGTTATCGATTATCAATCGACTAGATAACCCGCAAGTTTTCCAAAGTCTGTTTACACAAGTTATGCGGAACGTTTACTCTCTGTTTATCATTTGACATTTCCTTTCGCGAGTACCGCAATTTTCCAACCGGCTTCTCCCTAAAATCTCTATTCCCGCGTAACCATTACCATTTTTCCAGATCTTTCGTTTAACTTTGAATTTCCAAATATTTGTATATTTATATATTTAACTTTGTCTATCTAAATATTCGAATAGTTCAGAGTTATATACGACAATTTGAATCTTAATCGTTATTAATTAATTGTTAAAGAAACCAACGATACAAACGTTAAAGATGGAGCGATCAACAACATCATATGTATATACAATGTATATGAAGGACATAGTACGTTTGTATTAACATTTAGCTATGTATTTCTGCAACCGCATTTTAATGAAGATGTTGATATATACATAGTTACAATCACATATACAATATTATATATTTACAGTTCATTCTAATAGTATGCGCACGCATTATATGCAATGTCATCCCTCCCATACTTTAGCCAAAAAAATATCTAGTAAAATATTTAGGAGCATGGTCATTATCGACTCGCATCGAAGATAACAATACGATTATGTCAAATTTCGAAAACAATGGTTTCGAATTACAATATAGTTTATTCATAATATGTAATTGAAGAATTTCCCACAACTTGTTCGATAATCTGATTTATACAAAATTATGTAATCATGACTAGTATATTCACAATGCAACAGTGGTTGAAAATTTAATGTTCCTTCTATCTTGTTTTTCTTTTTTTCTTCTTTTTATATATAGACAACTAAAACAGTTGAAAAGATTGCTTATCAAATTTTATAAATAAAAAATTTAAAAAATCATCGTTTTAAAAAAATATCTTTCTTCGTTCTTTCACTTTTTGTACAACCTATGTACATACATACATACGTACATACATACATACGCACACATATATGTATATGTGTGTGTATATGTATGTGTGTGTATGTGTGTGGGGGGGTGTGTGTGTATATATATACATGTATATACACACATAAATTATAAGATCTTACGATAAAAAAGAGCAACAGTTGTAAATCGGTATGAGATTATCATATTTTCATTTTTAAACTTTACGGAGTGAAAAAACAAATAACCTGATTGAATAAATATCGTTTTATTGCACTTTCCTGCTCGCATTAAACCGTATTTCATTTATCTTTGGTATAGTTTTCTATACGTGATGAAAAGGCCATTTGTTTGTTTGACCTACTTTACTTGTTCATAGAAAACTTTGTTTTAGTCTTATTTAATATATTACCACGCACTGTTTACACAGAAAATTGCGAATTAAAAATAAATGATATCTGCATATATATATATATACATATGTATGTATCACTCTTTGTAAGTGGCATATCGCATGCACCTTTCATGGATTACTCTTCAACGTAATTAGACAATCCAACTCCTTCTAAAAATATCGATATCCAAATATCCTAAGTATAATCTTACTTCACGATAATTAAAATAGTAGGAATTAGTCTCGAGTCATCGCTGAAATGTTCTCTTTAAATTGTAATTGGATATTCAGTAGTTAAGTAATTGGCATTGAAACTGATTCTTCAGAGTCAGATTGCCTAAATCCATGTGCGATAATAACTCAAATACATTAATTACTATTTACGTACATATTCTGACAGCTACAAAGTACTTAGCGATAAATATTATCTATTATCAGAGTCGAGTAAAGATTCATTGAAAATGTCCTGCTGAGCCTTGGCAGATGAACATGTTTAATTACTATTATATGTATTAAAGCTTGGTATGTTAACGTAGCACGCTTGTCAAAGCTGCCAATTTTCTATTTAGAATCATGTCATCTTACCTAAATAATTCTAGTTAGCAATTCAAAGAAGACTATAGTTATTACATCTTAAGTTTCGGCTGGCATTTCGATTTGCATACTTGACGATATAAAAAACGAATTGCTTATATAGTTGTACTCTTAACGCAGAGAGACAAAGAATTTTCTAATCGGTGGGTCTTTGATAATCGATGGAATAGTTAATTCTCTTCCTCCCTTATTCTCACTTTTTTTCTTTTATAGTTACTATACCGGTATTTTAACGCGTACAGTATGAACGAAATGAACGAAAAAATATTTTTAACGCGTGATCATCTAGGATTTGCTAGATATTGCTCCTTTTATTGATTACTATAAGTAAATAAGTTCAATATGACGATATATGTGTACCAATAATTAGAATTAACTATTGGCATATGATATTTGAAATTTCTATGAGCGCCATATATATACAAATTGTGTATAATTCAAGTGAAATGTAACTGGTGTATATAACAATGTAATGAAGCGATTCGAGTTGCCATGACTCTCTGAAATGGAAGAAAAAGATCCATGCTCGAAAATGAAATCTTCTGTTTCTATTATATATTATATTATATTATATTAATATATATTGTATTATATTATATATATATATAATATATATAATAGAATATATAATAAATATATATATGTATATATGCGTAATAAAAGTGCAGGAACAAATTGCACGCTAATTTTATATAACGATAAATAAAGCTATCCCTTAGCTAGTTCGTTTCTTTACCATTTTGAACATTTTTTATGGTTGTATCTTTTTCAACTCGATTAAATCAGTAACGTCAAGAAAAGGAGTGCTATTGTTGTTGTTGCAGTTGTTGCAATAACGGACACACCTCAACTAAAGGTGTCCCTAGAATTTCTTGACATACTTGATTCATGTCGGGTTCCATCATAAGCGAAGAAATCTGATCCTCCGTTAACATTTCCACGCTAATTGTTATACAATGGAATTAATGAAGATAAAGTAATTCATATGATAAAGTATTTACGAATGGGTTACATACCTTGCTAAGCTTTCGCTATCGGATGTTTCCTCGTCCGCATTAAGATAGGTCATTGTTTTTTCTAATGGACTAGGAACTTTCTTCCCCTTCCCTTCCACTTTCTCAGACTTTTCAGATCTCTCCTTGTCTCTCTCTGCTATCTTTGGTTCGTTAAAACGTCGTTCCGTAAGGCTAGATATGTTCAACATCATCATTCCATGATTGAGGAATTCTTTCACTCGTTCTCCTGTGCCGACACTCCATAACATATCAAGGGACTGTCTTCTACTTGAGTTTGCTATGACAATTAACACACACATACATATATATATATATATAAGCTGGCTAACTTAGTTTAACCCAAATACATTATATTTCTAAAAATATATATATAGCTAAATGTATTTACCTGAACTGCCTCCACTAGCTTCACTGCCAGCTGAACTTCTGGTTATCCAATTAGCTAAACTAGTATCGAGTTTGCTTTTACTTTTCACTGACGGACTCCTTGTTACTTCCGTTTTCTTTTCGCTGCTTAAACTAACTTCGTTTCCTTTTGGCATAGCAGGTAATGACTTTTGGGTTACTAATTTCTTTCGACTAGCTGCTTCACTGAACGACTGAATATTTGCACCATTGGTGGGCGGGTTGTTACTTTCTGGAGTCAAGTCCATTGGTAGCGGTTTATAAGGAATTTGATCTTCTTCGTCCGAGTATACTTCGTTATTGTAATATACTTCGTCCGGAGAATTATTTAAACTAATTTCTGTCCATTCCTCCCCGTTTTGTACAGTATTATTAGTGCTTTTTAAATCCACCGGTGTTTGTATTTTCACTCGTTTTTCTATCGGCGAAAGAATATTCGACAAGTCTGACAACCGTGAGGTTGAAGAACTTGTTTGATTTAGTGTTATGATATGTTTCGTATCAGTTGTTGCAATGCTTTTTGGACGGTCTCGTTTGATATATTTCCGCGGCTCTGTGGATGAAACATTCAAGTTACTTAGGCCCAAATATTCGGAAGAAGGCTCTCTATCGATCTGGATAAACATACAATGAAAGTCATTAATATACTTATAAAAATCATTTGACATATCTTATTGGTATGATGAAGAATAATTACTCTTGTAGGCACAGGACATTGTGTACTAGGGCTCATCTTCTCAGGAAGGCGCAAGTATTCGTCGCTAGTATAATCTGTACTATCAGGTGATCCAGTAACGCTAGAATCAGTTGGAGTTCCTGCATTGGGCTGTAGAGAAGGTTGGCCAACAGTATCTCTCGAACATTTATCGAAATCATCTGCTCCATCATACTTCCTAGTCTGTAAATAAGAAATGAAAATTACTATAGTGTGCAAAAAGTTATAGCTCGGACAAAAATTAGTCAACAATTATACCCTATGGATTTCGTCGCTGATTTTTTCTAGGTTTCTCAGCGCTTCGGCGTAAGTCATTTTAGCTTCACCCACTGATCTTTCTAACGCACTTACTCTTAACTTTTGCTCCTCCAACATTTGATTAAAATGCGCTTTCATTTCGTAATATGGCCTATATGATAAATCAATTAATAATTAATAGAGTTTAGAACATGTATTTTAAAGAGAAGCTTGGTACTTTTATATTACATTTTCTTTGAGTTATATCTAATAAAATAGATCTCACGTGAAGCATGTTTGAATAAAGCGGAACTTTTTGTACAAAAATGCTTATCTATGAAATATTTTATAAAAATATAATTCGTGCATAAATAGGCTGGTAATTTAGAAGAAGAAAACGATAAAGAAAAAATCGTCAGAATGGGATTTGTTCGAAGCAAAGACATAAAATAAATATGGTGTAAAAAAATAAAAAAATAATGTCTATCCTACTTACAACATGAGCAAGTTGTGCCTGTAGGCGATACTGTTTATCAGAAGCAAGCTGCGACGTGCACCCATACTGCCAACATGAATACAAACCAAAAGA